TAATTTTATAATTCAAATCAAACAATAAACTTGTAATCCACAAATCGGTTAACTCAATGGGGAGATCCATAAGACGTTTAAGGGTAGGGCTGGGTAGCTTAAGAGAAAAATAATTTGCAAACAGTGCAAGAATAAAGCAGCATCTAAAATCTTACATTGAGTTAATAGTCTCATTTGTACACCTAATAAATAGAAGTCACCTTTAGCCACAGTAGATTAGGCGTCGAAAACAAATTCTTCCCAAGCAAAATCACCTTTGTGCCCACCTACACCACCTTTTTATTTCATCATTTTATGCTATAAAGGCCGTAAAGACACGATAGTGCCCGGTGGCAGCCAATTTACTCGTTATAACTTATCGGTGTATCTTTGTCTAAAGGGAAGGCCAAAATAAAAAATCAGGGCGGATTTTTTTCGTGTGGCTCGCTACAATTCTAGCTGGTAGCGCGTAATCCAGCCTTTTTACACCATCTCTGATGTAAACAGAACTATCAGGCGTTGGTTGTTTTCAGACATCGGACAGAATTTAAGTCATTTTTTGCCCTATTATAAATAGAATTCTGCAGTTTTTTACAGAATAATCTTACAAGACAAATTGCACTCATTCAGTATTCAGGACGATCGAAACACACGCTTCCCTTCGACAACAAATTATAAAAATAGCAACATCATAAAACGCTTTTATATAGAGAACTGGCCTTTTATCATAGTTGATAACGTGATCAACTTTCGGCACTGTACCGCCCCAGCTGCCGCCCACTGCGTGTGTGTAAATCTGCATTGCATTTAAGAAGGTCATACAGTCATGTAGCTGGGGCAGTTTCCTTGTAGGCGCTTAAGGACTTGCTTCCTCGGAGACCCAGGGGCAGTCAGTCAGGTCGGGAGAAAAGGCGGAACGAAAGTTTTCAAGTACTGGCGAAAGAGCCCCTGGGTACCGACTCTCATCGAACTATTTCCAAAAATTCAAGGGGACGCCGGCTCCTGATTGGGCACAAAAAATGCTTTGTATTATTGTGCCCAATCGGTGAAGAGTTTCTCCTGAGTTCTTTTCGTGAGTTCGTACACGACGGCTATTGTCTTGTCACACTTGCCCGGTTCGTTCACCAAGCTTGTGCGTGCAAGGGACACTTTTATTTTCTACTTTGCTAACCAGAAACAAAGGAACTACCGATGAGTCGAAAAAAAACGTTTGGGATTCTATCAGCAGGAGCAATTCAATTTGCTCCGAGAATATTCTGTTTTTGACTCATCACAATATATCGTAAATAATAGGAAGTTTAAGATGCGGCGGCGACGAGAAAGTCAAATTAGCAATAGCTTGACAAGGCAAAAAAAAACTTTGCACGTGCATCACACTTTTTTGTACATTTCTTTGGCGTCAACTGCACGACTACCCGTGAAAATGCCTTATCAGTCATGTTTTGTGAAGGACGTAAACAAGCAATGACCGCAAAATTCATTCTCTTCTTGAACTTGGATATGGTTGATAGAAATACAGCTCCAGAAGAGTTCGCTTTCATTTGACAAAGTAAGTGAGTTGGAATAATCACGACAGAAACTGGAAAAATGTGAATTCCCTTTTCCATGCGACGTTCTCGTGGTTATCAGTCGTCGTGGTATCTTTTAAAAACTCCCTAATATTTACGCAAGACGTGACAGATACAAGCGCGAATACCTGTTGTAAGCTCAAGCTTATATTTTTGGAAAAGGGTCTTTAGTTTTCGGGCAGACAGTATATTGAAATAAGATGGGGATTTTATATCAAACTGAAAGTTTCCTGACTGCGTGCATTTCTTTGGTCCATGAGCCAGACAAGCCGTGATCAAGACAATAGCCGTCGTGTACGAACTCACGAAAAGAACTCATGAGAAACTCTTCACCGATTGCGCACAATAATACAAAGCATTTTTTGTGCCCAATCAGGAGCCGGCATCCGCTTGAATTTTTGGAACTAGCTCGGTGAGAGTCAGTTCCCAGGGGCTCTTTCACCTGTACTTAAAAACTTTCGTCCCGCCCTTTCTCCCGACACAACTGACTGCCCCTGGGTCTCCGAAGAAGGACTAGCGAACACTTAATAACTTTAGCTTCGTCATAAAATGGGAGCCACCCTAATTTGTTAAAGAGATTCACGCTATTTGATCTTGTGTCAGCTCCTAAAATTACTCGGGCATGAAAATGAAGAAATGATCGTCGCAGTGAACGCAATTTATGCAATTGCGTAAAGAAGCTTGAAAAAATTCAGGAATTCAACGGGGTTTGAACCCGTGACCTCGCGATTACCGGTGCGATGCTCTACCAACTGAGCTATGAAGCCACTGACGTTGGGAGCAGGTCAATTGTGGGTTCATATGTTCCCGTGAAAGAAATGAGTGTTAATGATATATATTTTTTTTTTCAGGCTTCTTTCCGAAATTGCATAAATTGCGTTCACTACAACGATCATTTCTTCATTTTCATTTCATTTCCGCAGTTCATATATGATTTATTTCATATATCATGA